AACGAGTGTAGAGTAGAAGCGATGGGTTAAGAGAAGGTGAGGGCGGGGTATCGCTCTATTTATCTACGGAGGCGGGCGTTTGTTTGTGCGGGGAGTGGGCCGAGCGTGTTTTGATAGCGCCAAGGCTGCAGTGCGGGTGAGGCGATTAGGCAGAGGCAACGCATCCGCTGTCCTTGAGTGTGAATGTGAAAGCGTTCGCGTGGGGACTTACCCATCGCGTTGGCGTAGCGACACCGCGCGACCGGGTGGTGGCGTCAGTGTAAGTGAGGTAGTGCAAATAAAAAATGAAGAACCGCCATATGTCAGAAGAGTGTGGCAACATGGGTACTTCGGACACTTCGATAGTATTACATTACGAGCACCTATGTATATAGCTCAAACGCTGTGGTCAATTGTCAACAGCAAGCATGCAGTGATGTACATGCCCAGACCGCCCACCGCCGTGCTGAGTCCTAAACGCTGAAGACTCAGTACGCCTGCCGAGAGCAATAATCCATATACAATGCAAGCCTTCATAAGCACCCTAGACCATCCTCCTCTTATGTATTAGTATTACTCCGACAAACTTTCCCATTCGCCATCCCATTCTCACCACTCTCCTCGAGTCTGAAGTCCGCATTGTCGCCCTGGATTCGCTCAATCTCGTTCTGTATTGCAAGTACCCAATGATCTCGCTCTGCACGCGATCGCGCCCTAAAGACCACGCTACGGCCTTTACTTCCAAGCTTAGCTACCCTCTTAAGCTTTGTGCGCTTACCCTCTTTGCGGACTTGTTCCCCGCCGCCTGCACCCTCCTCTGCGCGGAACCAGCTCTTTGCTTTGCCATGCCAGATAACAAACGTGGTCATGACGTCCTCGTCTGTTGATGTCCAGCCGTCTTCGAGGTAGATTCGTGGGAGGGCGTGGTGTCCTGGTTTGTTCGCATCGAAAGTTTGATTCTGATAGAGAAGGTCATTCTCTGTAAGGAGACCAGAGTAGACGTAGCAGTCCTTGAGATCGAGATTCGCGATGCGCTCGTGGTGGATGTGCGCCAGTTGTTTGCCAACCCTACTTCGCAAGACATCGCGGAAGATGAGCAGTGTGCCGGCAGTCAGCAGAACACTACATCGTGTGAAGGGCGCATGGATGCGCGGTTTGCGATACAACATTCCGCTCATATGAACGCTGCGACAACAAGCGATACCACACATGTTGTAGAGCTCTGGTGAAGCAAACGATTGAGTCACCTCCCACTTCCTCGCGAATTGCCCAACGTGTGCTTCTGTCTCTTCGTCAATCTTAAGGGCGCTGAGGTTGCGACTACGTGTGGCTTTGTAGAGGGCAATGTCTAATGCGGTACGGTGTTTCCAGTACTTGGCCAGAGCGCGTAGGTGCTGTATCCACTCTTTCCGATGAGCTTTATCTGCGGCCTGTATATCATGTCAGTCAAGAGCAAAGGTGTATGCCAAAGAGTTAGGCACCTGTAGACGAATGATGAGGCCATTCTTCATAACCAACTCCAGGGTACGATCGATGTCCAGGTCCTTCGTAGCTCCGTCGTTGCGCATAGAGTCGTCGACCTCCTCGTCAAAGTCCACATCCGAGCCTTCTTCCAGGTCTTCATCGGCAGGACTGGCGCCTAACTGGGCTTTGCGGACTTTGACAACATCTGCCAAGCTGATGTAGCCGTCACAGTTGAGCAGGTTCTGCTCTTTGCGGGTAGCTTCATCTGCTGCATCTTCATCATGCAACCGCCTAGCTTCCGTCGTGCCTGAGTGACCTTCGATCAACCACTCAATCTGCCTATCCTGGAGGCCATACGGATTGACAGCCCAGCTCTCTGGCACCGCGTCTTTGACCGCTTGCGCTGTCGGCACATTGGCATTTCCAGACGCAGGTAGCCTCGGAGGTGGAGGTGGGGTGACTTTTGTGGGTCGTGAAAAGACGAGATACTGATCGTGGCTGGCAAAGTATAGCTGCTTGTGGTACATCAGACCTAGTCGCTTTGCCCGTCCTCGTTGCCCTGTCAGTCTGATAAGAAAGCCTTCAACAGGAACCGGTTCGGTCAAGGTCTTGTGCTTCTTCCGTGTCACTGCTGTTGTAGGATAGTGTGTCTTGGGCCTCAGTTCGAGTTCGTGCGACTTCAGCATAGCTATCGTGCCGTACATCTTCCGCTCGTTCGCGCCATGTATCCACTCAAGTCGATCATAGCGCTTCCAGGCGAGACCTATACGCTGGTCCTTGATCCACGATTCCAGCACGTCAGCCCACTCCGGTGCATCTTGCAGTTGATCTAAGCAGCGCTTGATCAAATCTTGAGCAACCGCCTGTTCCTCTTGCATAGTCCTCAGCAGAGCCTCCTCGGTGTTCTCTGCATCCTGAACTTTGTTTTGCGATGCCTCTAACTTCTCGAATGGGTTGGCAATCCGTATGCTCAAGCTCATGTCTGGTATGCTGATCTGGAGCTCGGAAGCACGCTGCCAGCCAAGGACGTTCCGTAGGAAAGTATACCACTCTACTGCATTGGACGCGGTTCGAGCTTGCATGATGAAGATCAGGGTTTCGCGTGAACCTGGTGAGGACACGACCATTGACTTGTCCAACGATGAGTAGAGATTGACCTTGCAGGTCTTTTTCCCCAGCGGAACTTCATAGGCAGCCTTCTTGCCCGCTCCTGCATTCTCAATTTCAGGGATGACCTGTGAAGGAAATTAGTAGCTTGACGCATATGAAAGCAATGGGCAAACGTACCCGTGTCTGGTAGAGCTGCAGCAGAAATTCTGCGTCATTGGTATGGCTGTGGCGACAGACGACCATGTACTCCCGCCATTTATCCTTGACGCGGGAGACGACCCTCTGGTTGACGTTTTCGTCAAAGTCTTCGGGAACTTCTGCGGCGGCATCTACTCGCACAAGCATGCGTTCCATCTTGACGACAAGCCCATCTTTGATCTTCTGCCGTCTTATCTTCGTGCCGGCTCGCTGAACAGTCATTTGCGCCTTCTTCGCCTTGAGCTGGATCGTGGCACGCCGGGAGTCCTCCGGAATGTCAAACTTCACAAGGTTTCGCAGATTCGACTTCTTGCGCGTCAGGTCTCCCGTGGCAGGGTCCGTGTCTTGGGGCAGTTCCGCGGAAGAGGACATCATGCCTGATCTCCTCCTCACTCTTGCCATTATACCCTTCGCAGGCGGTTTCGAATCGACATCAGCGGAGGCCGGTGCCTTATTCATGTCAGCCTTACGCAGCAAAGACGATGTGGAGTTTGCATCTACAGAGGCTGCTCCGGTAGCTGATGCAGGACTCCCAAGGCTCTCTACATTCGACAGTGGGCGTTTGCCTAGTGACGTTGATCCTGCCTGCCCTTGGCCTGAAGGAACTTGTAAGCCACTTGCCTGTGCTTGTTGTTGGTGTTGCCCCTGCAGCGGCCTTTCGTCCGATCCTTGTTCGTCTTCGTCATCATCTTCGTCTGCGGGTATCGAGGATGCGGTGATATACGTCTTGTCCGTACTCGATCGGCGGACTGTCCGTTCGTTGGTGGGAATGCGCTCGATGTCGTCGTCTTCCGGCTCCGACGGCGCGTCTACGAACTCGTCGTTCTCGTCATCGTCCATGACATCGCTCTTGTGATCTGAAGCGCGCGGGACTTGTAAGGCGGGTGGAGTCGCCGCAGTCGCATCCGCCGCACCATTGGCTCCGCTGGCCTCGAGCTCTTGCGCTCCTTCCTCATCTTCTGCTTGAAGTTCCTCGGGTTGGGGGAAGCTGTGCTGGAAGAGGGCAGAGGAACTGGGGCCTTCGAGGCCACTCAGTCGCCGTTGGCGCGCCTCACGCGGGTCTGAGGAGAAGGTCGCCGTACGCGTCGAGTAGTTGATTCGTAGATGGTGCTTGTACCTAGGCGCACGATGTCAGTACATGTCGCATAGGCCGTTCCTGCAGCGATATCTCATACCAATCGGAGCGGTGCTTGGTCAGCCATGCCGTGGGGATAGGACCGATGAAGTAGCGTCTCGTCGTGAGATGCAGATGCTCGGGCGTGGCATGTTCCTACTCCTCTTAGCTTGCGACATGCGTGCGGTAGTCTGCAGCCATGCATACCAGTCGCTGCGCAGTGTACGAGTCGGGGGGCAGATTAGTAACGTCAGGCTGGTGCCATGAGCGGCGCTGCTGGTCGGGCATTGGACCTCTCCTATCTCCTTCTGGCCGCGGAGGTGCGCTTCTTCAAGTCACGGTCGGGTAGGAGTGAATACATAAAACCACTAAACAACATACATTAAGTTAAGAAGCTAGCAAGAGCGCGACTACTTTGCATAAGGAGAGGCAGCCACGAGCGCGTGGCGGGCGTGCGACTAGGAAAGCAGGCGCGGGCGAGGGCCGAATTGGCGACGGCATCCTAGCCCTCGTCATCGTTGAGGTGCCCAGCCCGAACCCCCTGTGCAGATCATTATCACAGATCTTCTCATCGCTAGACCAACAACAATATTCGCAGACACGCGACAATCATTCCATCATTCCAGGTAGGCTTTCAATGAGCTGGCGGGGTACCAAGGAGTAAGCTGTTCTCCACGTTTCCGACACGCCTTAGCGTTTTCTCCAAGACAACCCACGATTCGACGACATCTCAGAAAAAGCAACCTCAGCCCTTCTGACTCGAGGCCTACGCTCAACAGACGATCTCTACACACTTATCCGTTCACCGATTAACTAATAATTTTCATTGATCCACGTGTGCTTAGTCTTACCTACCAGGTTCCGGTCCCACAACACAGTTTGGTTCGATTCATCCAAGCGAAAAGACCACCAACTCGCCAAAACGTGCAGTTTCAGATTCCAACCTACCCGTTCCGGCAACTATTTCGCAAAACTGTTGATTCCGGTCTCGGGTGATCTGCTAAGTGGCGTTGCGTACTACGAGGGTCTTCCTGGTTCACACGATCTTGACAGCTTGGTGGCACAGAAGTGTCGATTCGCGCAAAGCGTGAACAAAACTACATTAATCACCAGCTTTAATACTACATGTATCCTCTCACAACTCCATGATTTCGTCACGTGGCAAAGCTCGCCATGCTATCTCAGCCGCGCCCCTCGCTGCTACGTACTCAGGGTCAGAATACAGCATCTTGGCCCGCGTTCCGAACAAGCTGAATGCATCTGCGATTGCCATCCGAATCTCTTCACGACCGACGCTATCTCGGCTTCCCGTCATTATGACAGTGATTTCTTCGGGAAAGACCCAGGGCCTCTTCGTGTAACCAATGTACACTTTACGCAGATACTCTAGAACGAAGTCGCGTACTTGCTCCTCCGTTGCCGAGCTTCTGCTGCCAAGATCGAAACTTGTTCGAATATCATCATCATCGTAGTTCGCGATATCGCGAGCGCGATCCAGCGGTCGACCATCGAGTAAGATAGCATCCTCAGTATATTCCACGATGACTGTGTGGCACCCAGGAAATCCGGCTGGTGTTTGACATTCGGAACCGCTCTCAGAGAGACCCATCCCATGGCCGGCATACGCAGCGATGAGCTCGTGTAATTGTAGCCCGGAATCGGTCGTCAGCATACGCAAATCTGCGTGCTCCGCGGCATCCTTGATGTCTTCCTGGTATAAAGCAAGTAACGCAGGGAAGCTCTGTATCGTGGATACAGGAGATCCAAGTTCACTTTCCGCCATCCTCGCCGTTGCTTTTAGCATCTTGGCTAGTACTGCTACGTCGGCAGAGGCGGCCAGACCGAGCTTCTTTCGTGCGCTTCGCCAGGCTCTTCGTGGAGCGTCGTTCCATAAGTCGTCCATGCTGCCGTAGGGTTCGCTGTAATGTACATTGTCAGCAATTGTATCCATAAGTACAATGATCCTGCAACCCACGTTAGATGCACCGAAGAAGGCAAAGACAGGCGTCGCATCATTTTCACATACGCCTTCGATGCATCCACCCGACCAAGGTTCTCGAAGGTTCCGTCCGGCCATCGAATTGCTGCTGTCGCATGATTTGCAGTAAGCGAAATACCGACTACTGGCGACTTCGATGTCGGCTTTTCCTGCATCTCAAGTGCGATCGCCTGGGCGTAGGTGATGGCAAGCCGGATTGCTACTACACCTGCGATGATAGACAAGATTTTGAACATGTTGTTTGACTAGTCAAAGACACAATACTCTGGTGGGTGGAAAGGTAAGTGCATCGTATTTGAAGGCTGGAGATGGTGAGTAGTCGCGATGTCAAGCGGCACAGTAATGGCTGCTGCCTACGTTCAGACGTGCGGGGTACGCCTATCTCACTCCATACTCTCCTGACTACTACTTCAAGTTTCTAATCGCTTTCTGAACCCGAAATTATGGTATGCATCGATTTCGCTATCATTACATGGCCATGCTGTCTTCATCCCACCCTCATCAGCCGACGAAAGCATCGCCCTTACCGATCTCTCGGACGATATGATCCGTCACGATCGTCTTTCCATCCACCGCGCTGCGTCCCATTCCTTTGATCTGTCTGCCTTGGCGACTCATATTCCCTCCTTCCATACACCGAGCGAGGCGCATACGCGGAAGAAGGTGATGGTGTACCCCAAGCCCGGTCGAGGTACATGGGTTCAGGCGTTCCATGAGACTGTCTACCAAACGCTTGCATCGATGAACCTGCAACGCGGTGACCAAGTGGCCCATCATTCGGTGACTGCGAAGCAGATGTTCTTCTCGGTGCCGGAGCTAGGGTACGCAGTGCTTCAGCCGTGAGGCTCGTTCGGGGAATGCGATAAGGTTTCTCTGCGCTATCTTCTGCTCGAACAATCGGTTCGGGCTTCTCCATCATCGCTTGTAGTTGTTGCGCTTCCACGTCGCGCGCCTGTTCTTCTGGTTCCGCGTTCTCAGCTACTCTCGCAGCCCACTTGGCTTCCAGCATCTTTTTCCCCTCAGCGGTCACCCGCTCATTCATCCGGTTCTCGGCTTTCTCGATACCCAGCTTGAGCGCTTCGCCCATGACACTGTGGAGGACGAGGAAAGGGACGGTGAGGACGTGGCGGAGCTGGAGTTGGTAGTCAAGCTTGACTTCGTGGTTGTCTAGGTTCATGTGCAGTCGCGACCTCTTCTGCGCTTCATCTCCTGACTCTGTCGAGGTGGGTCTGGCTGGCTCATAGTACACCTTCCGCTCCTCGAACCTCCCCTTCTCTTTCCACTCCTTAAGTGCGTTGCAATCCATATTCTGCGGTCCATAGCGCTTGAGCGGTATGCGAAGCGCGCGGATCAAAGCTTGGGTATGCAGGACGTTCAATTCTAGCCTCGGTGTGAAAGAGTCCCGGACATGGAGATACCAGCTCAGACACTCTGTAAGGCCGCGCGCATCAAGACCAGACGGTAGATGGTTCAGGCCACTCAGGAGATCACCGAAAGTCGGCAGGACGTAACCGCTACGTCTGTCCGCGATGTATCTGCCTGGCTCCAGGTGGTCGGTATGTAAGTTGGCATCATGCTTCCCGTTGATAGTGTCCGTCTTGAAACCCTCGATGACCTTCTTGACGGAGTCGCGTTGGAACTGGTTCATGACTGCGGCTGTGATGTCCGTTGTTGGGGGGCCACGGAAGAATCCCTGTGTCTTGTCAGCTATAAACTATCTCAGGGCAATCAGACAGACGAAGACGTACCTGCATACCAACGATATCCGCACCGCGATAGTCGTTGTTCGCTAGTCGGACCATCATGCTTTTCCACCGGACGTGATGGGGGTAGTAGGCCATGACTTCTTTGGCGGATAGAGGTACCCCTGGGGGGAGTAGAGCGTCTACGGGGACTGCGTCGTTGTACCATGTATAATGCACTCCGAGGTCCTTTCCTACGAACCCAGGCTTTTGTAGAACCCCGCGAACTGCTCGCATATTGAAGTCTTTCGTTTCGTCTACCCATGGACGCTGGAAGGGAGGATATGTGTGCACGGATTCGCCCGAATGCGACATGTGCGGTGTGTAGAGCGAGGCAGCGGTGCGAGCTGTGGCAGGGGTATGACGGCCGAAGGGCGTGCTGAAGTTCGCAGGTGTGTCGGGTATTTGTTGGAGATGCATAGGGCCTGGTGTTGATACAGCCGGAAGCGCATCCTCTATGATGAGTCTGCCTGAGAAGCGCAACCTGACGGTCAAGCTATAGGTCTGGTAGTCTGGCTCTTCGCCCTCTACATCGTCATGGCTGATTCGCTGGCGCCTTGCTACTGACATCCATACGTTCTTCCTCGCAGTCTTTGACTTTGACTTCCTCTTGAATGCTCGGACCTTCACAGTGGCCTTCGGGATATCCGATAGGGCTCTGTTCCTTGCGCCTTTTGGAGTAGCCGACACCGGGGCGCTTACATCGAACGCTTTGATGTCGCCATCGCTTGGGCCACTGCCACTCCGACTCCTGCTCTTTCCAGGGTCGGCGACCTGATAGTCGTAGTCCATGTCATCCCACGCCGACCGATCGTTGGGCGCGGTTTCGTTATCATCGTGTTGGAAGACACCGGTCGCATAACGCCAGTCGCGGCTTTTGGGGACCCAGGTAGAATGCTTCTGCGGACGAGATTGGCGCGCGAGGATATCTTCTTCCTTCATGGTCGTGATAGCGAAGTAGGTCGCGAACTTTTCTGTTGCCGTCGGGCTATCGTGACGCTAGGTCAACGTCGGTGGAACGAGGCAAGAGTTGGGTGAGTTGGGAGAAAAGATTCTGGAGATCGCGTCGTGAATAGCATATGACGCACTGGTAAACACGGGCCCATATTCGCGTATCAGGCATTTTGGCAAGTGAAGGTGGAAAAGACACGTGAATGTCACCCAGTGGCCGCCTACATACCCTTGGACATATGCTGCCCATCGCCATAGAGTGAAAGGAAGCCATAGCGATGCGTAGTCAGTCTCTGGCAAATGCCAGAACTCAGATCCCAATACGCATGACAATACATATTATTGTTGGCGCTCCGCAGAGCGACCACTGACCCTACCTCGAACTCCGACAAATCTTCGCTAAGAACTGATAGATTGAAAGGTTATCTGTTTCTTCTTCTTCAAATTTTTGAACGAGAAAGAAATACGTGGACATAGGAAACCGCGAGATGTGAACAGATGACCGAACAGACCAAGAACGAGATGTGGCCAGGTAGACTTGAAATGTAAGTCATCGACGAATATTGTCATTTTACAAAACAGGCCAAGCAATCTCGTTGATTGGGCTATCGTCATCGCAGGCCACCGTATAGCATACTCCCGGGCTCGCGCTTCCGGAGTCCTCTAGGGCTTTTCATGTGAGCTTTGCTTGCCGAGACATCAGTCCAGGCTGTGCGCTGGAACTTCATGACACCAATCGCAAAGGTATCGGCATCCCATCAAAGGATAAATGCGAGAACAGGTATGATTAATGAACATTATGAGCTGATATTGTCTTCGATGAAGCGGACCCGCGCGAAAGCAAGCGCTTCCGCAACACGGGCCAATGAAAGCGCCCCTACGTCATTATCCTGCAATATCCGAGGTCCATCATCAGCACCATAACACCGCGTCCAGCAGCGCGTTGCTACCATCAGACTATCAAACCTCTCTACCAAAAGCCATCATGAGCACAAAATCCATCCCAACGCTAACCCTCGACGGTGCGCGCATCGCCCTCGCCGCCGCCGAGCAGCGCTCCAAAGAAATCAACGTACCAATGAACATCGCCATCATGGACAACGCATGCCATCTCCTAGCATTCGCCCGCATGGAAGGCGCAAAACTCACATCCATCAACATCGCCATCGACAAGGCTTTCACAGCTGCAGGTCATCGCGCGCCTACGTCTGTTTACAAAGACAATGTGTATCCTGGTGGGCCGGCGTATGGCATCAATCACAGCAATGGAGGCAGGTTTATGACGATTGCGGGTGGTGTGCCGATTGTGAAGGATGGGGTTGTTGTTGGGGCGGTGGGGTGTAGTACGGGGTTGCCGAGTCAGGATGAGGATGTTGCGAAGAGGGGGGTTGAGGCTGTGCAGAAGAGTTTTGGGGTTAAGGCGAAGCTGTGAGTTAGTTCAAGAGCAAGGAGAAAGAGGGGAACATGCTTCTGATGTCAAACAAAATCGCATTGTATTCCGGCTTGCTACGACTTCCACATCCAACCAATACTTACATGTACGATCGAAGATACTTCTCTATCAGCAACAACACAAACGCCTTTGATCCATCACACCAACGTTGTTTGATTCCACTGCTTTAGGTCGGTTTCTGACACTGCGAATAGTATTCGTCGACCTTGAAGCAGACCAGGCCCTGGTTGCAGGTTGTTGAACCTTGCCACGTCTGGCCACCGCACTGATCATAGAGCTGTACTGGGCCCGTAGCCACTGGTGGTGCAGGTCTGGTCGTGGTCGTGCGCCGGGTGCGAGTGAACGGCGGTGCTGGTTGAGCAGGTGGAGTGGATGTAGGTCTAGCAGTTGTCTGAGTTCGCGTGCTGGTGGATCTCTGAGATGATACCGGTGGCTGACATTGCGAGTAATCTACGATACGTCAGTATCAGATTTGGGATGGCATGCGTGACATGATCGAAACAGCGCGACTCACATTCATCGACTCGCACGCACACCGAATCCTTGCATGTCCTGGGGCCAGTCCAACCATTCCCGCCGCATTGGTCATACGGTAGGCCGATGGTAGGTGCGGCACTAGCAGAGGTTGTAGTCGTTGGAGTTGTTCTTGTGTTAGCTGGGTCCGCGAGGCAATAGTAAGAATTCTCGTCGACATAGGTACAAACGGTGCCTCCTACGCATCGAGTGGGACCTTTGTAAGACTTGCCGCCGCATTGACCTCCCGGCTGTACAGTACCAGAAGATATCGGGGCCGAAGTCGTAGGCGTCGGTGATGGGGTGTTCTGCCCCGGAATTGGGTCATCGTTGCGGCGGCAGCCAGACACGCCAGACAAAGCTTCAGGGCACTTGACCTTCTCCCAGTTGACCGAAGGATTGTCAGCTCCTCGGAACCAGTCGAACCGCCAGTAACAGCCAGCTTGCAGCGCAGAAGGGAGGGCGTCGCAGTCGTCGCGATGCGCTACGCCACCATAGTCTTGACCCCAGACATCCGCGCCGCCATATTGCTTCGTGCATCCTTGGGTAGAACCTTCACCACCACCAGGGATGGCAATGTTGAACTGATCCTCTCCTAGATCAGACCCGGTGTTCGTGACTTGGACGATCATCTTCTTTCCGTTGACTGGCCCGGAAGTAAACGTCAGACTAGAGTCGGTCAGTCACTGCTCGTTCATCAAATTGAAGGAACATACGAGTAGCAAGAGCAACACCACGCGGATTCGTTCGAAGCTGCAAGATTGACTGCGGCGAAGCCATACGCCAAGTCGTTACTCGCAGCCCATGGGCTGAGATCAGAGCATGCATATGAGCCACCGCCACTTTCGCAGCCGTCGCGCCTGTTGTAGTTGTCGAGGAGATTGTCGCTCGCGTCGCACGTCAGGACTGGCTTGTCGACAAGAGCTTTGCCGGGCCAAGAGCAGGAGTTCTTGCAACAGGACCACTGACGAGTGGTTGACCCGGTGCCTTGGACGGCACTTCCAGCGCCGTAGGCAAAAGCGAAGAAGGTCGACGTGACAGCGGAGAGAAGAAGAATCCGCATCTTGGAATTTGGTTTATGATACTGCAAAATGAAGAAGACTGTTTGAGCAAGCCGGGACGATGTTATGAAGATGAGCTTATAATCGACGAAACATGAAGCTTTTATAAACCTTCATCGGGTTATGCTCTCTGCTCTGGCTGTTCTACAAGTTCGTACGGCATAACACCTGCCAGGTCCCTGCTTCGGGTATCTGCACGATCTAGCAGGAGAACTTATCAGATCATTGCTATTCCCAGGTACTTGATTGCGCACACGGGAAGATTGTTGGTGCTCATCTACTGACGATGTTCTTCCGCTGTCTGTTGAGAAGCGCTGGAGCGCTACTATTCATAGAAGCTGCCAGTGTAGTTTGGTAAAACAGACAACTATATGATCTGGTGACTGTCGGCAGATACATACACGCCACTTCACGACCTTGGAGCCACTCTGTTCGTTGTGAGTTGTTTTTGTGCATGCTCAAGATAGACCTGTGGTGTAGTCGCTCCTCGCCCCCTTGTTACCCGCCTGGAAGAACGCTGTTGATGATCATTCTAACCCCATCCGTGCGGACACGATTGATTACTCTCGTTTCTGGACCGCGAAAGCACGGGCTTTCTTCCGTACAAGGTAGCTCTTCTTCCGATACCCATAGAGCCGGTAAGCCACGAACCAGATTTCAACTTCGATCTTGATTGAACTCCGTCTTCCATAGGACCCATGTGTTGTACCAGATTGAAGACCGAGATTTTTGTTGGGACCTCTGTTTCCTGGATTGTAGGTGTGGCAATCGCGAATGTTGCCTTCTTCAGAAATCTGTGGCTTTTGAGGTACGGCACAGATGTGGGTACATAGTGCCGCGAGAGTAGATCACTATGGCGCACTCGTCCAGGGGCCTGGGGCAAAATCCAAGTTTACTATACTGTCATGGGCCCAGCGAACCATGTCTGTGAGAAAAAGCACCTTCCTCAGCACGGGCACGAACAGCGAGATCTCCTTGCGCGTCGATCTGCCTACGACCGATCGACTGGTAGTCCGTTCAGGGTGTCCTGGTAAAATCCGAGCTCGCTTTCACGTGCGACTGCAGGCGGCTCTATATAACCGGCGATTCATCTATCTGGTCAGATGATCAAAACCGCATACACGTCAGTCACCGAGCGAGGGCAACTTTCACGATTCGGCCCGTGAAGAAATCGCAGAATTTCGGAATGTTTGAGTGAAACAGAAGCATCGTGACTTGGGCCAAGGTTGGCTCACGAGGTGTCGACAGGCATGTGTCTTGTAGGGACAGGCGTCCAAGGCCCCTAAGCGGGGGTAACGCCGTTGTGCTGCCGGCGCTAGGGTCGTAGCGGACCGCAGGAAGGCCCAACCTTAGTGTCACTCCTGACATGCACAATGCGCTTCCTATACCTCCAAGAATTCAGATAAGAAAATCCTACACGAATGACCGGTGAAGCCATGAATTTGGCATCAATCAATCGGCTGATGCTGGCACATCACTGATCCTTTCGGCGCTACCCGCGCTTCGAATTCTCCGACTTCAGGCATTCGTGGCAGGTTGTGGGGAACGTCGATCGCCTACGACACATGCACATTAGCCCACGTCCTGAAAGAATTTATCGCCTTACGTCTCAGGTATCAATAGCCAATCACGTCCGCTCGCATCATCGTCCATTGGCTAAGCGACGGCGTATATACCGCTTTATCTACCTCCGAAACAGGGTGGACTGGTCGAGCAAAATACGGTCGGACCGTCTCGTAGGGACTATCATACACAGCTGTGAATCAGGGTCTGTCATAATATGGCAACAGCCGCGTCACGTTGCAGACTAGCTGTCCCTCCATCTTTTCCCCGTTGCAAACGTTGACTGACAGCTCGGCACAAACACCTGCATTTAACACTTTGGACCCCTAACCAGAGGAATTTTAGCTACTGAACTTGCGACAAATCTCGCTGCGAAATCGGAACAATATGGCTGGCATAGCTTGCGTATGGGCGAATATCCCAGAGGGACGCGAAGAGTGGTACGAGAACGTACACCTACCTTCACTGAATCCACACAACGCAAAGCATGCTTTACATTGCGAAGTAACAGCGAGTGGTATGGAGAATGAGCCAGTGGGAAGGTTGGACGCGCCATGGCCTTACATGACCGTATGGGAGATAAAAAGTGTCGACCAAGCCAACAAAGACATGTACGACGCGCAATACCATCCACCAAATGCCGATTTGCAGGCTTCGCTCAAAGGCCTACTTCTTGATCTTCGGTCCTATCGGGAAATCAAGAGTTGGAAACAAGACGACTGGTCCGGTGACGGTGGTGGTAAGATCACGGGTGCGGATAAAGCCGGCGATGACGGACTAATGTCGATAGACATCGAATACGTCGCAAGCGTGGCGGCAATGGAATGGAGCGTACCAGCCGACAAGGAAGAGGAAGTCATGAAATACTACAGAGAAGTCGTCGGCCCCACAATATCTAGTTCACCAGACGTATTGCGGTTTCGCCTCTTTGAGGTCGACAACGCAACAACGATGCAGGGCGGAAAGTTCGAGACCAAAGACAAGAAAGAGCTACACAGATACTTTACTCTCGTCGAGCTAGAGTCTGAGCAGTGGCCATGGGATGTGGTCGTCGATCTCGCGGAGGACAAGGAATGGAAGGACTATTTCGAGAGCCAGCAAGTAGTGGTACGTTGACGATCAAGCCCCGTGGAACTTCGAGTTACTGACACAATTCAGAAATGGCAACTTAGTCACTACTTGATGAAGAGGGCGTATGGCGTACCGGAAAGTAAGGCCTCTGCATCGAGCTAAGGGCCGGACACGCTAGATCAGCCAACGCATTGGTTAAGGGATAGTATCTTCGACCCGAGCGAAGCTCCTTCTCACGCAATACATCACTTGAACCATGAAATCACAACATCGACAAACCGAAACGGTGCATTCAACAAGCTAACATATGCGCACGCGCATCTGCGTTTGACACCAGAGACGCACTATGTACAGCCTATCCGCATCGCTCGCCTGTTGATATTCGATTTCGCCCAGCCTTTGCACCAAATGTATCGGATCTTCCTTCTTTACCGAACCGATATTGCGAATGGATTTATATACCCCAACCGACGAGTACCCGACCAGCCCGCATGCGCCTACATTCAGTCAGCCAACCAGTCGTCATCTATAATAAAGGCCACTTACCAGCAGCAGGCTTAAAGGTCGCATTCATAACGCCAGTCGCACATCCAGCGGCAAAACCCAGGACACCATTCTTCTCCGCACCATCGATGGGTTTGATTATAAGATCCCTTATGCCATCACTCAGTCCGTAACCAAAGCTCTTGAAGCTGACCAGCAGCCCACTCCTCAACCCAGTCACATTTTCATACTGCCGTACCTCCTCACCATACGCTTTCGGAAGGTTATGAAAACCTCGAGTAATACCATGCATGACAATCGCCGGACTCTTCAGACTGGTGGTGATGATGCGTCCGAATCCTTTTGCGGTACCGAGGGCTACTTGGCGTGCTACATGAGGCGAGTCTTTGGTGTCGAGAGGAGGTGATGGGTTGGCAGTCCCGTCCCGCTTCTCTTTCCGTCTTATCTCGCGTTGCAGTAGCATTGGTGTTGTTTGTTTGCCCAGTTCGACGGGACCTGCTATGAGACCCAGCATGATTCCGCTTACCACGTCGTAGGTAGTGAGAAATGCAGCGGATACCGGGTCGGTTGGGTCGTGCTTCATGTCTGAGTATTGAGATATGCTGTAGTGAGTGTCAGTGATAGCCACCGTTTGTTGCATTGCGAGACTATTTACAGATGCAAGTCTTTGGGTTGAAGAAGACCCTCTTTAGTAAGCACCGCAGCCGCAAGCGGCGATAGGGCCAGGCTTTTCCGCTTCACCAGCCATACTGCTGGTCTATCGTGAAGGATGCTACATGCTCGTATGCTAGCAAGGCTCGCCGTTGCATCGGCTTCTGTGAAGTCATGTGTCAAGGCTGGAGCGTTTGACGAACGTGTATGCGATGGGTTTTCTTGGTCGCTAGCATCCTGTCGTATGTCGTACTCGTGCTCTTCTTGAAGACTCCGCGGTTCTGGGCCTGGAAGTGAGTCGTATGCCGGCGACTGGTCTTGACTGCGTGGCTTTTCGTTTTGCGTCGACTCCGCATCTACCGAGATTTCTCCGCCCGCGACCTGTTGAGTGTATTCTGGGAGGTCCATGGTGTAGAGGTCGGCATTCTCGGCGGTGGGTTCAACGTGCACCACAGAGGAGGCATCTGTGTCTGCGGCTGGATAGTTAGTACTCTGGTATGAACGTCCAGTGCTCGGAGTACTTACTAGCAGCACTCCGATCGTCCTCGGCCAAGGTCGTGGTTACGGCAGTCATCTTCTAGAGCGTAGGTCTGGAATGGTCGAATTGCAGATTGCGCAGCATGAACTGCAAGCAGTATTACTTATGAGCCAACTTTGCCATCTTCAAGAGAAACTTCTCTATAAGGCCCTACCTCGTAGCCACGCGTGCGGAAGTCTTGGGTTTCCGAAACGGGAAACGCTAGGCCCGGAGTGGTAAACCTTGAGAAGGGCGCAGCAGGCGGCCTGACATGCAACCAAAACCGCCTCGGCGGCCTATCATCAAGGCCCTGAGAATACTAGCGAAATTGAGCACTTGGTGTTATGCTTCTTGTGATGGTGTGCATTCGGGGGCTCGCAAGCTCTACCAGATCGCGTAATGCCATGGGTATGTTTTTAGATGTCGTAGGAACTAAGTCAATAAGAAGAATATAGCGAAGAGCTTCTAATCGTCTCAGTATCCTTTGTCCAGTTTTCTTCTCGATCAAAGCATGAATGACATGCTTGCGAGGGGATTTTGGCAGAACACGCGTTGCATGTGTTCCCGAAGCTTTTGAGGAACGCGTGAACATTTTGGGATATATAACAGTACAACCGGCTAGTAATCGCGTCGTGTTTGTATTTACAGTCTCAAAGGTCGTGTGTATAAGTAAAAGCAGACGCTCAGAGGGTGCAGCTCACGTCGGCTACGTTAACGCGTCAACATGATGACGTAATGAAGTTTACGCGTTCGGCATCGACGGAAGCTGCACCGAATACGCGACTGTCTCCTGCCTCCTGCTTTCTGCATTTCCACGACGCGATCTCCTGCTATCGTCCCATCATCGCGAAAAGCACCAGCCACCCTCAAGGCACGATAAAGCGACAAAATGGGTACTGTGGGCAATGATTTATCCTCATCCGACCGCGACGGGAACCGCAAGCCATTATCAACGCGGCCGTGTCGCAAGGAGATCTGGTGGACGCGACGCCATTTTCGCAGATTCCGCATGTGAGAGACGATCGAGCTCCCTTTCCTCCACTCTCGAGTTATTGCCAGACAATTGGATGTTGAGCCTTGAGATACGCGGGTGGCGCGTAATACGTGGAAGCATATGGGGGATATTGACCATAGGAGCTCCCAGGGTTTGATTGCGTATCGTCGCCGTGGTCTGGCTGGTCTCCGTCATCAGGAGGCTGTCTCCCACCCGAAGGATCGCTATCTCTGTAGCCGCTCCTTTCATGCCGGTTACGGTCGTTCCGGTCATCTCGTTGCCGGTCTTTATCGCTCTCCAACGTGCGGTATCTTGCGATGGTGTCAGCATATCACACTTGGCCATGACGCCAAAAACTCACTGAGGCGGTATGTGATAACTCGTTGTAAGATATCCGTTACCGCGGTATGCAAAATGTACGGCTCTTTTTGCACTATTTATGAGCATCTCTGCGTCCTTTATTGACGTTGGTTCCCATATTGTGTTGAGAACAATATCCTCTTTCCCGTACATGAGCTTGTGATAGCTGTTGTAGTGAGGCGACCAGATCCACTCTGAGCAGCGCCCTGATCTGATATCGGCTTGGGCTTCTTCCGGTGGACCTGGACGGCTCCAAAGAGTTTGGAGAATGGTGTTGTCATCACCATACTCGTACCTGTAGTAACGACTATAGCTGTAGGAATACTCCCAATCTGGCCAAGGACCCTCATCTCCGCTATCCTTAGTCTGGCTTGGTTCCAACCATACAATATTACCAGAAGCATCGTACTTGTAGAATCGCTTGTGTGGTTCGTACCACTTCCAGGGGACGTGTGTTTCCATCGTATGCAGTAGCGGAGTCTAGCTCGGGGCGCGCCTCGTTATATCGTTTGGCGGGTACGCGGCGTACGTGGCGGGAGGCAATCGCGCTTGCAGAAAAACCAAAGGCTGAAGGACTGCGGTCCGCGCTTTGTCGGACATGCGGTGTCGTAAAGATAAGGTATGTCCACTCGCCGCGACATTGACGGTAACTCATTCACTAACTCGACATGTCTATCCGCAGTTCTTACTATTAAGTCAACCTGAAATACGCCTGGACATTTCTGCACTTAATGAGCGCATGCGTCATGCGGTCTCCTCGGTTGCTCCTACGAGTGTTGTCCCGTGTTGCCAATGAGACAGGCCGTATCTTATTCGTAGGAAAACGCCCCCGTCATGCACGTCTGAACCAATCCAAGTGGTTAGCGTAGCCTGACAAGAATGCGCGCGACCATTGTTGTCAGCATTCAGCCTAAGTGCATGGATGTGCCTCGCCGGCGTTTTCGAGATTCATGCTCGCAGTACGCCCCGGATACAAACGTTGACAACGAGCTCAAGTCGAAGCGACCTAAGAGACTGTGCAACTCGAATGAAGCGAACGTTTATTGAGTTGCTCAGCATTCATGGTAGGAGCGGTTCCTATCACTCACAACTTGCAGCACAGATTCTGTTGTTCTGATAAATCGTGTCGTTCCTCACGCCCGTCCACTTGAGGCTGATGCGTCTGGAGCCCAGGGCATCACTGAACAACTTTGATTTCACGAGCCGAACCACCATACTGCATATTTACTAATGTCGCTTCTGAGCATGCCGCAGACGGGACGATGGAGGGATCATAGCGAGGGACACAGTGAGTGTGCGCTCGACTTTGGGAATCATGTACTAATAGGACGGTAGGCTTTCAGACGTTGCAACACGATTCCTGGCGGGCAGCGCAATGGTTCAAAGTCGGCATTGCTATCAGCCTTACCCTGGCGTCACCCTACGTCCTGCGAATTGTAATCAGTACGATATCGTGTGTCAAATACTACCGCTCGCCAGCAAAGACGCCAAATACTCGCGACGATGAAGCTGCCTACCGCCTTGTTCCGACCGGTACTGTGAAAACTGCCATTAGTACGGAGGGCGGATGGAAGTATTTGGCGTCCTCCATAATCGCCCAAGAACCTTCCTGGGAAGCTCGACATCGCTTCTTTCGCTCCTTTCTTCTTGCATCCGTCTTGTTGGTATTGTATCAATCCATTGTGGGGACAGTGCTGACCGACAACGTTGCAAGAAGCAGATCTGCGTTGTTGAAGTCAGATGTCTGTGGTCTCTACGAGTATGACAACAAGAAAGGAGGTGAAGAGGATGCTGTACGTGCAGATATACTGATGGTGGGAAGAGAACGGCGGGCAGCCGCCTATGCGCAGGATTGCTATGACCCTGACACCAAAGTCAAAGCCACCAAGTGCGACTTCTTCTACAATTCGTCCATCGGGTATGACAGGCGAGAGGACACCTGCCCTTTTCAGCACACCGAAGTCTGTGTTGGGCGCTACCAACCCGGCGCGGCCATCACCTTTGACACAAATTTGGTTGATTCAGGAGTACTTGGTATCAACGAGGAGTCTATGCACAAGTTCAGACGCAAGACAACATGTGCACCACTGAGTGCAGATTGGCCTTTCGTGGAACACTTCACCAACAGCAGGACAAACGAGTCGGGATACAGATACCTCTATGGACAGCTCTGGGACACCAAAAATTGCTCAGAAAAAGTGCTACTTTCAAAATACACTTTGCGTATGACTGGCCATCCATTTGAATGGCAAGCGCCTGTTTACAAAGTTGAGTAAGTTTGGAGGCGAGACCTCTGGCTCCTATTAAACGTGCCTAAGAAACTTATAGTACCTACGCCACATCGTTACTCGACACGGTTTGCGACTTCTATCAGCCTTCAGAATACCTGAACGCTACAGGGCTACTGCAAGACATAACCAAGACTTTGAGTCTCTTTTTCGTGACAACCTTACGTATTCTTTACACTAAGCCAAGTTACGACCCAATCTTCACAGCCGATAAAGCCTTCCGGTACCATGGTGATCAAAGCGATTACTACTACAACTCCCAGCCAAAAGCAAGAGCCTTCGCCTGTATTGATGAGACCATCTTCTGTGCACCTTCGGGGTCACCATGTTGGCATGCAAATGATGCGGTACCGGATGGCGGGTACACTACACCATCCTACTGGCTCTTGAAGTACGCATTGAAGAGCTCGAATACCTACGACGCCATAAAACTTCGTCTCGGTAGTGGACTGTTGGCCCAAGAACGAGTCGGCCAATCTCGATCCATGCCACTGCCTAATGACCATTGGCAGCATGAGGCTGAGCACTTGTTCAAATCATCTCTTGCAAGAGCCCAGTTCGACGCTTGGAGTATTGCAAGTGCGGAAGACCACGACAATCCGACGTATACTGATACGCTACCTGATGAGGCGAAAGGAAAGATGTGTGGCCTCTTCAAGTTTCAAGCGTCTGGCTATGTCAACATTGCCATAATACCGTTCGTATGGTTGATGTTGGCATGGCCGATAGTGTTCCTCTTGAGCGTAGAACTCAAGACGTATGTAGCAACATTGTACTTGGTCAAGTCTTGGCTTGCTAGTATGAGGAAAAAATCGGCACAGGCCGATGCAGGATCAAGTGAGACGACGGAAACAGCCATAGACGGCGTTTCCCAAGAGAGCGCCGCGGCAGATCAGAACATATCCTCAACACCAGTTGTTGTAGTGACCACTTCACCGAGCCATGGTGTACCAGCTGATACGACAGCGTCATATGAGACGGCAGCACCAGACGAGGCTACACCACCAGATGAAGCTACAGCAAGCGAAACTCCTTCGGCATCGCCAGATCATCCACACGCAGAGCCAACGCCAGGCACAAGCTCCACGACCAATACAACCCTGCAACCGTCAGATGCATCGACGTCAACTCTAAGCGCTACTGCTACTACAGCCTCTCAGCGACCGGATACAGCGACCAGCACAACACCCCTCATTCCCAGGCCCCCAGGGGCCGCATCGACAGACGCGAGCCAAAGCTACGGGACGACATCCAGCGCTCGAAGTACTACATATTCGACACACAAATCTGACCAGGCTGAAAACTCAGAATGGTCACCTTTGTTGATACACGGTCCAATTGTGCTAGGTGTATGGATGTATAAGAAGATGAGGAATAGGGGGAGCGATGCAAGAGAAGACGGTGAAGTGGTCTGA